CGCCAAGGCGTGTTGGCGTAGGGGGGAAGGGCCTCGCCGAAGTCAAGGTGTCATGGCCTCCTCTGGGCGCAGCCGAGATCCCAAATTGGCACTACTGTGACCGAGTGTTGTTTTTGTTGATTGGATTCCCTCCCTTCGTTCTCTCGGCGGTGAATAACACTGGTACTAAAAACCATTTTGCCGCGTCGGAGATTATTTTCCCCCCTATTGTTGGGCAGGCTGGAGAATGTTAGGGCTTCTCTCCCAAGGAATAATGCCCCTTGGCCTACCCTGCACTTGCCCGCCGCTGCCCAGGCGTCCAGGCGAAGCGAAACGCCGCTAGCGAGCCCACCTATGCGGTCCCGCTCGCACGCACGACGCCGCGCTGGCACCACTCCGAGATCAGTGGGTCGGCATTCGGCTCGCCGGGCCCCCTTTGGCCTGGAGATCCCCCCCCGCTCGCAGGCGATTTCTGTTGGTCGCTGAAAAAGGCGGGGGAGTTTTGGGATGCGCCCCCCGTGGGCTAGTGAGACGCACCCCTCTCAAGAATGGATTCTCCCTCATCGTATCTACCCGAGTTCGGATCAATGTTTGGGCCCAGTCGGAATCCCCGCAATGTCGGGGGTTGGGGTCGCCATACGCTCTATTATGAAAGGCCTCTTTCTGACCCGATGGATCCGACTCGGGATAGACTCGGCCGGCCCCATCCGATGAGGCACGATTTTTGTGAGCGGGTGAAGAACAGTGTAGAACAGCCTTGTCTGCGATCGGGAGCGCCTGTCCCAGGTCCTCCCGAAAGTTGATGCCCCACCACTACCACCGTAGGGGCATTCTCGTCGGCGGCCGTTTTCCTGAGGCGTTGCTCGAGGAGCGTTGGAAGCGAGGCCGCGATTGTGGAGGTGCTTGTTGGGGATCCGTCGCGGACCTCTGCGGCGCTGCTTGGGCAGTCGCGGGTTCTCATGGGGCACTGGGTCAGGTGCCCTGACAGCTGGACCGATACATAAGATCGATGTCGGTTCGGGGAGGGTGCCCTAATGTTCTTTGTGCGTGCTGGATGTTCTTGTGGATCTTGGGGGAGGGCACCCTTGGATGTTCTGTGTGTCTTGGCTGGCGGAGATTATCATGTTCTTGAAGAATGTTTTTCTGCCTTATGTCTCTTTTGCACTTCATTTGAGGAAGTTTGTCTTGAGAAATCACGTCATCCTGACCCCCGGCACGCGAGGGAATGGGTCCGCCAACTGCCCCCTCTGTTCCGTTCCCGGGGAGTCGGGGAAATCCGGCGACGCATTCCGAACCGGCGCCTTCGCTTGGGCGTGGGGCACATTGCCCCCCCAAGCCCCCCGCGCAACCGCAGAGCGGCCAGCTAAGTAGTACCGTTCTTCGCCGCCCGCCAAGCTCCCCCGAGCACCCGAGCCTCCCCGAGCCTCCCCGAGCCTCCCGAGCCTCTGCCTCTGAAAACAACCGCAGAGCGGCCGACCAGCATCGCTCTTCGCCCGCCAGTGCTTGCACGGCGCTGGTGTGCATCCCGGTGCGGCCGCACAGGCGAGGCGCGCCTGCCGCTCCGCCTGCGAGGCCGCGGGCGCCGCGCTCTTCTTGGTCGTGGCCCCGCCGGCCATGTGCGCTGAGCTGCTGCTCGACGCCTGGGAGAGCCAGGACCCTTACGATCAAGTCGGGCATGTCCCTCTACACGAAGAATATTCAAGAAGAGTCAAAAACAGTCTGGGGACGATGTTTCTACTATGTTTGACCATTTGGGTCCATTTTTGATTAATTCTGTAGGAGGACATACCTGACCTAACCTTACGATCAGGGGCGGCCCTACCGACCCCTAGCAAACTATCCCCTTCCGTGACGCACCCCCCCCCCGCCTCGCCCCAAGACGCATGTGCGCGGCCGGAGGGTAGCTCGAAAGGGCGAGGATGAGGTCACGCCTTGGGATGCTTTGTTAGGGACCGGGCAGGCCGCGCCCAACTACTACGAGCGATGAACATATCAGGGGCAACGATAGGGGGGGACAGGCATAGGGGGGGATGCATCGACCCCCAATCGCCCATTGATCGCCGATGGGGGCCCGATAGCCCCAACTTGCCCAGGAAGGTGCGGATTCGCTATCGAGGGCCTATCGCCGATCTATCGACGATGCATCGCTGAGTCCAGGTCGATGAATCCCCCCCTATGCCCTTTCCCCCTGTCCCGACAAAGAGGAGGAGGAGGAGGAGGAGGAGGAGGAGGAGGAGGACGACGAGGAGGAGGAGGAGGAGGAGGAGGTCGAGGCGCGATCCCAACGACGCAGCGTCGTGCGGATGCGCTCCGCGGGGGGGCGTCCGCGGCCAAGAGCGCCCCGCAGCGGCGGGGTCGTGGCCCAGGGGCTCGGCTCGCCAGGCCTCAGGAGGGAAAAAAAAACGCAGACACAATGAATCGTCGATCCCCAGGAAAATATATGAAAATATGGTAAAGTGGGGGGGGAAGACAATAATCAGGAGGGGAAGAAACACACAGACACAATTAATCGTCGATTCCCCAGAAAATATGCGAAAATGTGGGAAAAGAGAGGGAAGACAAAAATCCAGAAAATATTGGAAAATATGGGGAATCTTGTTATTTGTGTATATTTATTTGTGTGTCCCAGGGCCCCTTCAAAAAGCCCAGAAGCTGTTGCAACATATGGGGGCTCCTGTTGTTTGTGCCGAGTTCTTTTTATGTGTCCCAGGGCCCCTTCAGGGCCACGGACAAGGGATCTGCTTTCTCGTCCGCACAGCCCGCGCGTCCCGTGCCGACCTTCGGAGGAGGAGACAGAGCCGATACCGCTGCGCGTCCCTCGTGCCCGCCTTTTTGTGGGCCTCCCGGAGTCAGAGCGTGAATTACCTACCCCGCTTTCGCTTCCAGGCAAAACCAAGTCATACCACGCGCCTCCTCGTCAAGCGGCCTGACCAGTGCAGGCCGTAGTTTGGCATCGCTTGGTATCTCTTGGGAGCGAGGGTGGTCAAAAGCGAGGTATGTTTGCTTGCCCCCTATGGAGGCCCCCCCGTGGCCCCAGCCTGGGTCGCCCCGGAATCCTGGTCAGAGCGCGCACTGTGGGAGGTCCGTGGAATGGCGGCATCGGTACCCTGTGGCTTCCGACCCCAGATGTCCGAGGACATCGCTCCACCGGCGTGTTCCCCTCGATCACGGCTTTCGGGGAAGGTTCGCGAGCTGCGGGCACGGGCCGCGGCACGACGACGACGACGACGACGACGACGACGACGACGACGACGACGACGACGACGACGAGGACGGTGGCGCTGACGACGACAACGACGACGATGGCGATGGCGACGACGACGACGACGACGACGACGACGACGACGACGACGACGACGACGACGACGACGATGCGACGACGACGACGACGACGAAACCGACGTGAACGTGGGGCGAAACACACAAAAGTACTTCCTCGGGCGCTGCGTGCGCAACGGGGACCGATAAGTGATGAGGGGGCGAAGGGAGGTGCACCTCTTGTGCCCCAAATGGGCCCTTGGGGCCCAACAAATACAAGAAGTCAGAGGGGAAACAAGTACCCATACCGCCACCCTTCGCCCGTTTGCCCGTTTCCCTTTTTTCTCCTCCTGGAAGGCCCTCGTCGCCACCGCTGGATTCGCCTCGAAGTCCTGGTCAGAACGCACCCGGGGAGAGGTCCGGGGAGTAGCGGTATCAGTACCTGTAGGTTTTCTCAAGAGGGGTGCATGTGATTCTCCCCCTTTGTCCCCCTCCCATTCATCGCCCCCCCGTAGGGGGAAGCGGTCGGGACCTTGGGGTCCGATGAATGAACATAGCACGTCGGGGGATGTCGGGACCCGCGCGCCCCGGTGCTGGCCTTGCGACATCCTCGAGGCCTCCCACAAGGTGCGCACGAGAGTCGAAGAGACGCCAGGTCACCCGTGGGGGGGTGCGAAGACCTGCGCGCCTCTCGCGCGCCGCGGTGCGCACGGGGCACGAGGGCGCCAAGATAAGCGCGCATCGCGGGGCGGGATGCACGAATGTCGGTGATGACAAAATCAGGCGATCGCAAACATGGGGCAAGGGGGCGTGGATTAGCGACGGTTCCCGTTTCCATGGGACATCGCGGATTGCCGCCGCCGAGCGAGGCGGCACCGGCCGCATTTTGGGGAGGGCACCTGCCCCGATCCATGGATTTGGCGACCGCGCGCCAAATCCATGGATCGCTAATCCATGTTTGCGCGCCCCCGAAAGAAGCTGGCTTGATTTAGGGCGGATTTAGGTTGAGTCGGTTGAGTGTTTTTGTGTTTTGATGCCGACGACGATTGTAATGATGGTGGTTATCAAATCGTAGTGTTGATGGTGGTGGCGATGGTGATGGTGATGATGGTGGTGCTCATCACATCCAGAATCACCATCATCACCATCACCATCATCACCATCACAACCGCCCTCACCATACCATCATCACCATCCCCATCCCCATCATCATCATCATCATCATCATCATCATCATCATCATCATCATCATCATCATCATCATCATCATCATCATCATCATCATCATCATCAATACCATCAGCATCGCCATCACCATCACCATCGTCACCATTGTGGTCCGTAGGATTTGGCTCAAAATAGTGTCGTCGTCCGCTGGGGCGGTTTCCCCGAGCCCTCCAGCCTCGTCCTCTCCTTTGATTTCCCCGAGCCCTGCGGCCTCGTCCTCTCCTTTGATTTCCCCGAGCCATGCTTCCCCGAGCCCTGTTTCTTCTTCGAGCCGTGCGGCCTCGTCGAGAGCGGCCCCGTCGAGCCGCGCGGCCTCGGCGGCCTCGTCGAGGGCAGCTTCGCCAAGCCGTGGCAGCTGCAACAGCTCGGACGCCGATGCTGACGTAGGGTCCGACGCCGACGGCGCCGACGGAGTTGCCGACGCAGCGGGCTCCGAAGAGTACAGCGGCTCCAACAGCGGCTCCGACAGCGGTTCCGAAGAGGACAGCGGCTCCAGCAGCGAGGCAGCCGCGGCTGCAAGAGCGAAGGCGAAGGCCGCCCCGAGCAAAGTAGTCGAGAAGTTCCCCGCCTTCGTTGTCCATGACCCTGGAGGAGCACGTCGCCAGACACGACTACCCTAAGCACGTCTCCACCTGCGGCGCATGCAAATTTTGGAAGAACAAGGAGAAGTGGAGCGCCTCGATGTCTGCGACGAATCCAGTAACACTGAAGAGTGAAACTTGGATAGGCTGCGTAGGTGGTAGATTTGCAGTCTGCTTGTTCTGCTCGGCGTTCAAGGGCGCTCGCTGCTATTCCACCATAGGCCAGGGATCCGCGAGTTTCCAACGCAAGGAAAACCTCGTGCGCCATGCACAGTGCGATGAGCACCAGGCAGCCGAAGCGGCGTGGAAAGAGCGGATTCGAGCGGAAGGTGCGCACCAGGGTCTCCCCGTGTGTGTGTTCCCCACAACGGCTGCGTCAGCTGCAGCAGCTGCAACAGCCGTGGCGCCTGCGCCCGCCGTCGTCCGCAACGCCGACCAGCGCCTTGGTTGCCGCGCAGTGGTCGCCACCCGTGCAATGTTGGAGACAACCAATTCCTTCAGTAGTTTCGACGTGTGGCGGGATGCGTACGTTGGGGGCGACCGCCAAGTTTTGGAGTCTAGTCGGCAGCGCCGAAGGCTGGTGACCACCGTGGCTCAGCACGAGAAGATCATCACGCAGAGGATCCTCAAACATGGTGCTGTTTTTCGTTTGGCTGCGGACGGCCTCGACCGCACGTGCCAGGTCGAAATTGGCACCGCGCTGCGGTCGATCCCGAAGGCTTTGGATTTCCTCCCAAGCCACGGTCTCAAGGCAGGCCGGCTGGAACAGCTGGGCCCCAGGGGGCCCTGGATCGTGGATCGGGTGATCGGGATGCGGGAGTTCCCGCGGGGCATGGACTGCGACGGCAAGTCTACCATGCTGGAGGAGTGCGTCCGTCGCGCGTGCCAGACGGCAGGCGGGGAGCTGGGCGGGGACTTGACAGGAGACTCGGGCATGGTGCAGCGATGGGGCGGATCTAGGTGTACCCCTGGCTGCAACAGCTACGCTCCTTGGGCTGGCGTTTCACGCGTGGGGCGAGTCTCACTCGTCCCAGAAGGTTCTGGCCAATTCGATGAAAGGAGACAGCGAAATAACGACCACGGACGAGCTGCTGGTAACGGGTAAGAAGCCGCCAAGTCTGGCCAAGTTCCTGACTACCTCCACCGCGTTCCGCAATGCACTCGGGGAGCAGCAGCTGGTGGAAGACGGCGCTGCGTTCGCCCAAAACTTCGGCTGGGCCCCCCAGCGTTTCAACAGTCGGGCGAGGCCCTTAGCACGGGAAAGTCGGCGTTGGGAATTCATTTCCGAGGCGCTCGGAGCGGAGCCCCAGGGGGGGGGCGAAGATCGGCGCATTTTCGCCCGATAGATTCTGGAAGGGCTCGGGGGCGAGAACAGTTCGCGCCTGCTCCTGGGGGGGTTGCTGGCCGACTTGGAGCGCGGAGCACTACTCCTGGGTCGCCACCGGAGACAAGAGCAACCCCGACGCTGCCAGCGTTCAATCCAGGGCCGCCGCTTTCCTCTCCAAGCTGGACACATTGTTCGTCCAGGGGAATATCCTGGCCATCCCCAACATGTTTACTGGCGCCACCCTCAGGTTTCTGAAGGCC